TTGGCCTTCTCCCTTTCCCTGACTGCTTCTAGAAGCAAAATCACCCTTCCCTCCCTCACTGGCCCCACATCACATCACCTGTCTCGTCCCCACTGGCCTTCCCTGAGGACTCTGTTCCGGCCCCTTCCCCTTCTCCTTGGGGTTGTTGTTGGAGTCGTTGTCCTTGATGATATCATACTGACGGCAGAAGAGCCCAATTACAGCTGAAACACAACAATACAATCTGCACCTTGATCTTGACCTCCCCACTCACAGCCTTGAAGGGCATGAGATACCCACACGGTTTCTAGAAAAATCTGAAAAGAAAACCCTTGAATTTCTAGTGCTCATATGTGAGAACCACCCTCTTAGCCTTCCTCTCCTCAAACTTCTGCTCACCCCCAACTAAGCATCTCCCCGCTGCATTTCCCTCCCTGCCTTTTCTCCTGAGCTTCACCACCTCCCACCTTCACTGAGCCCCCCACTCCCCCAATCCTTGGTCCGCCGTGCAGCTGCTCACTCACCAGCCCACATGAGCAACACCACCACAATGATAACCACTTCCCCTGTCTGCAATGGTCGCTCTCCCTCCAGACCCTCTACTGTGATGTCACCTGAGAAGAAAGAGATAGACTCCAGGTTATGGGGAGCGGCCACAGAGCTCTGCTATGCAGACCCGTAAGGATGAAGAGTCTGGGGCCAGGGTTGCCCTTGAGAGCCCCTCTCTAGGAAGCTGTTGGTGGACAGGTAGGTAGAGACCAGAAAAGCAGGAACGTTGCGGGCAAGTATTCACGCAGACTGCGGCGGCTGGGAACAGAGGGTGGGGGAAAGGATGCTTAAAAGCCCTTCTCCCAAACGATTCATTATCAGCCTGTTTATACCCAGTCCCCTGCCAACCTTTTTCCTTCGTTTCTTGGCAGTATGATGAATTAAGTCATCCTTTTATTCATCTAAGCTAGACTGTGGCTTGTTTGGGGGGAAGTAAACAAGAGGCTAAAGGGCAGGTAAAAAGCCAGAGAATCCAAAGCTTTCGGGAGTGGAGAATAGCTGAGCCTCTCACCTGGGCTTGAGCTGTTGGAGGGTAGCCGGTCAGAACCTTTGAGAGTTCGGAAGTGCACCCGAGGCCCTGGGGGGCTCTCTCCCCGAAGGCCGATGCTCCGGACCTGCACCGTGTAGTCGCTGTCTTCAGCCAGTCCCCAGAGGGCACAGGCCCGCGTGGTGGTGTTCACCTCCCTGATCACACGCTGCCCAGGGCCATTCTGTCGCTGCGGGGAGATGATGGGACAGGAGGGCGGTCTCACACCAGTCCCAGGACTCAAACATCCAAGCACTCCACTGAGTAGGATGACAAGGGCAGCTTGAGCCAGGGGACACCAGCTCCCAGATTCTCCCACCACGGGGAGGGAAGCTTTGGTCCCCGGTGGGGGTAACGGAAGGAAGGCTCAGAGTTCCAAGGACACAGGCTGAGGGAGCAGAATGGTGATTCGTACTTGCTGGGAAATGGAGTAGCCAATGACGATGTTGCCTTCTGGGACGTCCCAGGACACAGTGGCCGAGTTGGCTCTGAGGTGAGTGACTGTCACATTAACAGGAGAGGGAGGCCGGTCTGTTGGGTGCCAGAGTGAATAGGTTAACAGGTCCCATGTACGGACTAGCTCTGCTCGACCCCACTACCCCTTTACTCACCTGCTCGCACAAAGCCCAGGTCACAACTGACCAGCAGGAGGACCGTAGGGCTTAAGTATGGGGAGAGGGGCATCAGCGAAGCCATGGTCCCCACCGAGTCCGCTGGGAGGCACTAGGGCATCCGCTTGACATCCAGGCGGGGCTCCTGGAGGTGGCAGGAGTTGTTGGGGGGGGGGGCGGTGTCCAGGACTGCCCAGAACGCACGGGTGGCAGCTGCTCTCCCTGGCTCCCCACCGCCCACAGCAGCCCCGGCCCGTTCTCCCCACGCCTTCCCCGCCCCCGCATCACCCGGGCGTCCCCAGTGCGCCGCTCTGCCCGGCCCACACCCACCTCCGCCGGTCCTCGCGGTCGGTCAGGCCTCAGGGGGCTGCTCGGTGCCCATAGGGCGGCCCATCGCCCGGCTCCGCGGTGCTGCCCCTACCCCATCCCGGCGCGGGCCCGGCGGGGGCCCGGCGCGGCGGGCAGCGCGGGACCGAGCTGCGGGCAGAGGGCAGGCGGAGGCGTAGCGAGCCGCGGGGCGGCTGGGGGCCCCCAGAGCTCGGACGGGCCGCGTAGTCTGTCCCTGAGCGGGGGGCGGTGCCAGCGCGGCCTGGCCGCTGGCCGGAGTCCCTGTGCGGGAGGCAGTGCGGCTGCTCCGCCGGCGCCTGCAGCGGGATGTGACCGTCCCGGCTAGCTAGCCGCCGCCTTCTGCAGAGCTGGCCCCGCTCGCTCCGCCGCAGCCCGACCGGGACGTGCCGGCCCGCCCCGCCCCGCCGGGGTTCTCGCCGCCGTCATCCCCCTCACCCCCCCCTCCCCCGACCCTGTTCTCCCGGGGCTCCTCCCACGACCCTCCCATTGGCGGCCTCCGGGTCCCCTTGCCTCTGATCCCGGCTGCGGGGGCGTAGGGAGAGGCGCAGGTGCGAGGGTCTCGGGCACCCTGGAGGGCCCCTCCCTCCCCGGGTGGAATTAGCCAAGTTGGGAGGAGGAATCCCACTTCCCCTGCGGGAGGGGACAGAGTGGGGAGATAATTGTTCTAAAATCTCCTACTTGTAGACTGCGTCAGCTTTTAAATCTCTTCCCCATTCATAATCTGATTTTCGTTCTCTTCGCTCTCATTCATTCTTTAATTTATTAAACAAATATTTATTGAGCGTCACCTAGGTGTCTGGGCATGGGAAGAGCTGGAGTCCAGCAGTTAAGACAGCAGGCTGGGTTTATAGCGGCGGAAGTCTAAAGAGTAGCAACCCATGGTTTTTAGCTCTTCTTCCTGCCTGGCGTGGAGAAATTGGTCGCCTAAGTGTCAGGTTTCCTAAAATCAGAGCGTGCAGAACCTCATAGGGCTGTTGGCAGGATCCAGTGAGATAATGTTGGGGAATGTCTTTATAAATCTTATGACACTGTGTGAGCGAGGGATTATCATTAATTTGCACCAGTCTGTTAGTTACTTCATTCGTTTAACAAACATAAATCCTTAAACTATTTCATGAGATCTGGAGTAACAACCTGGATGTGAGTCCCCTTTCTGTCAACTGTGTGATCTTCAGCAATGACCTAACTTCTCTGAGCCTCTGCTTTACCATCTGCAAAACGAGGGTGTCAGTATGGTCTCCTTAGTGTGAATGTACCCAGTGAGATACTGTATGTGAAAAGTGCATTGTTCAGTGTAAATAAATGTTGGCTTATGTTGTATTTAGGGCAGATACTTTGGTTTCTAATTCTCGTTGCAGCATTTCTATTTCTGTGGCACTTTTTTCCTGTAATATTCAGTTCAGCATGTGTTCCCCTGGGGCTCCAAAGCTTCTGTTAGCTTCCTTCTGAGATGAAAGAGTGAAATGGAGCAAGACGCTCAGGGAGGGCTGTGTGTTCTGGACATGTGATCAAGCCATGGCTCAGGTCCTCTGACCTCTGCTGTCCCTGAGGACCCTGATCTCTGGCCTCCTGTTGCATCCTGGTCCCAGAGCACTCTGCTCAGGGATTCTCATTGTCCTGGGACTGGGTATTACCCTGCACTTCTGAGCTCCAGGCCCTCCAGAGAAGAGGTCATTGTGTCCAAAGGTTAAGAGTAATGATCCTCAGGTTTCCCCCTTCATGGGGCAAAGCAGAGGCTGGGCAGTCTGCATGCATGCAAAGAGGGACCCCTGGAGCTTCCCTGGGGTGCCCAGAGGGCTGGTGGCCAACTGATCAGGAAAGGGTGTGGGGAGAGATACTCAGAGGGGGTGGTGCTCAGAGAGGCCAGGGTACCTGGGTTAATCATCACTGTGGCTCAGATAAGGCCCCGCCAGCTAGAAGCAGAGTTAGCGTGACAGAAGGGTTTGTGTGGCTGAAGATGCAGGCACAACAGGGTGTCCACAGTGTGCGACCATGACGGGCACAAAATGGTTTCAACATGTGATTGAGACCCCAGAGCCTGGCAAGTGGGAGGTGAGGATCCCCCACCCCTTCTCCATGTTGGTCTTCTTCACTGATTCCTAGAATAATTTCTCATCTGGACTTCCCTCCACCCTGGGTTTCTGTTTTCCCTCTCCTCCTTTCCATCTTCCTTCCTGACCTTCCCCTATTAGGCCCAGATTACCAAGTTCAGGCTAAATCCTTGGATGGCGTGTGTGTGTGTCCCCAAACCTTGTGCCTGCTGGCACTCCCACCTCCAAATCAAGAGGCATGAGTGAGGCCTGGGCTTCCTGCCTGTATCCTTGTGCCCCCTTCCCTCTAGTTGTCTGGGTATGAGGCAGCCCTGCCAATCACAGAGAAGTCAAACCCACTGACCCAGGACCTCGACAGAGCAGATGCCGAGCAAATTGTTTGATTGCTGGGACAGTGTGATGCTGAGATCTTCCAGGAGGAGGGGCGAGTCATGCCCACAGACCAGGTAACCCAGACCCATCCCCTGGACACTGAAAATAAAGATGCCAACTCCATGCCAATGGTCCTTAGTGTTTGAGACCTGAGAGCCCCTCCACTACACCAGCCATTCCTCCCCCTCCCCTAAATCCACTATCCTTTTCTTGGCTTCTGATTCCCACCTGTTCCCTACAGAGACTGTATAGTGAATCAATTCTGACCACCATGGTCCAAGTGGCTGGCAAAATTCAGGAAGTGCTGAAGGTACAGTCTCTCTGTCTTCTCCCCTCCTAACTTCTCTCCCTCCCCCCCTTTCTCTTTTCTTGGCTTCCACTTCTCATTTTACTCCATCTCCATTCTCCTTTTTCCCAGTCCTCCCTCTGGCCTCTTTATTGTCATCTTATTAATCAACAGTAATTATAATAACTATTATCTACATCACACTCTGTAATTGACATTGTGCTTTCACACTCATTACTTTTGCAAAAACCTGTGAAATGAGTGTGATTGTCTCCATTTTTTTTTTCAGATAGGAAAACAAAGGATAATCACAGTAGCTTGCCCAAATATATCCAGCTAATAATTGCTGGGTAGTGCTGTTTTTTATTGAGTGATTGGTGGATGACAAAGCTGCTCTCAATCCTTTCTGGAATGAGTAAGGGTTTGAGTAAGTAGCTAAGCCAGAGTTGGGAGTCAGACTGAAATTTCGTTCTCAAATCCAGGCATCTTTCTGTTCCCTTTTGTGGTAAAAGGAGGGTTAAGGAGTCTCCCCAGGAGTTCTTCTGCTGCTGACAAAGAAGGAATGTGCTTCCCCCAACCTGAGCTATGAGCTAGGCCCTGGCGACACAGGCAATTTTTCTTTCTCAGGAACCTGAGGGGGGGCTGGTGGTGCTGAGTGGAGGGGGCAACTCTGGCAGGATGGCGTTTCTCATGTCAGTGAGTACCCTGTTCCCCGATTTTCCTTCCTCTGCCTTCTCAGGGTAACCTCAGGACCATAAAGCTCATGATAGCTAAGCTCCTAGGTGGCCCTCTTGAGGCCAGGCTCCTTCTCTTCTCAAAGTTAGATCTCACCATGGAACCCCCATATCTTTGGAACCCACTTGGGCCCCACTCCGTCTATTGCACGTGTCTCTACATCCCATGCACCTCAAGCCGTCATCTGCAAGTAGCTTTTGAAGTGCCAAATTCCAAGCAGGACTGGCTTAAACGTTGGCCTGAGGGAATCCTCATACTAGTTGTCAAAATCCAAGGTAACCGCTCCCTTCACTTTCATCACTACCTCATGTCCTTCCCCCATGACAGATCTCCTTCAACCAGCTGATGAAAGGTCTAGGACAGAAACCTCTTTACACCTACCTCATTGCAGGCGGTGATAGGTAAGCCAAGTTGGCCCATGAATATTTTCTTTGGCCTGGATAGTGTTTTCTAGAAATAGAATTTTAAGGCTTTCAGGTGGAGATTGTGACCAGTTTGCTTTGGTCCCCATCATTTCTTATTGCCTTATCCTTGGCCCTCTTCACATACTCATGTCACCTGACTGGCCCTTGTAGGAATTGGAGTTTTTTTAGCCCTAGAAAGCGTCTATCATCGTGTTTAGCAAATAGTAGGTATTCAAAGATATCTTTCCCATCATTCCCTTCTCTTAAAGCATTCCCTTTTCTTCCCTAGTATACCATAACCTTCTGCTTTCAAACCAGTGCCACTGACTTTGAGTCTGTCTTCCTGGGTCTGTGGTGGCCTCTAGGGAGGGGACAGAAGATAGTGCCCTGCACGGGATTGAAGAACTGAAGAAGGTCTGTGTTTTCCCCTGATAGTCAACCAGACATCTCTGTTTGTTCCTTCTCACGAGGACACAAAAGTCCCATCGCCAAAGCCCGTTCTCTTCCCCAGTCCTGACCCTGACATCTCCATGCAATAGGTTTATATCCTAGAATCCTCCTGGTGGCACTGTCTCACCCACCCTCCTCTTGTAGGTGGCCGCTGGGAAGAAGAGGGTGATTGTCATTGGCATTTCGGTGGGACTCTCTGTGAGTGTGAAGACAGCCTGGGGGGATCCATTCTACAGGGAGGAAGGGGGTGGGGGCAGAACAGCATAGAAAACAGATTGACGAAGTGGGTACTAGAAAACAGAAAGGGTTCGCACAAGGGATTTTGATTTTACTCTCACTAATTGAGACCCAGCTGCATGAATGTGGAATGACAGGGAACGGATCCTATTCCAGAATACCTGTGTATCAGTCCATTCAACAACCAAGGTAGATGGACTAGTCCCAGGGTCAGCAAACCACACTGGCCAATCATGCCGCTGCCCATTTTTGTAAACAAAGTTTTATTTGAGACACAGCCATTTGTGTTTACATAAGATCTGTGGCCACTTCATGCTACAACAATTGGGTCGAGTATTGCACAGAGTTCATAGGGGCCCCAAAGCCTAAAATATTTACTCTCTTGCTCTTTAGAAGAAGCTGACCCCTGGACCTGTCCTTTGCTACTTAAGCATGGTCCTTGCTTAGCAACATCAGTATCTCCTAGGATTTGCTAGTAATGTAGAATCTCGCCCCTCACCAAGACCTACTAAGTCTGAATCTGCATTTTAACAAGATTCCAAGCACTGGATTTGGTGACCCCAATTTTCTCTCACCACTGTAGTATACGATTTTAACAATTCACTAAGCAGAAACAGGTCCAGCAATGCTAGATGCAGAAGGAGGCACACAAGGAGGGCAGGACACCGACCTTAAGGAGCATACAATTTAGTTCAGTAGTTTTGAAACTTTACCATACAGAGGATTTCCTTGGGGGAACTTGTTAAAAGTCCAGGCCTGGGGCTGTCCCCTTCCAAGGCAGATCCAGTAGATCTTACCTGGGCCTGGGACTGTGCATTTCTAACAAGCACTCAGGGGGATTCTGATGCTCCTGGGCCGCAGGAAACACTAGAATAACCCCTCCCCTCTCATCATGCCCTTTTTCTCCCCCTACCATCAGGCTCCCTTTGTGGCAGGCCAGATGGACTACGGCATGGACAACCCAGCCACCTTCTTGCCAGTCCTGGTTGGTTTCAACCCTGTGAACATGGCCAGGTGAGTAATGAAAGGCAGTGACTGGCTAGGCTCAGGGGAGGCTGAGAGGAAACCTGTCAAAATCTACAGTACAGGGGCGCCTGGGTGGCTCCGTTGGTTAAAGCCTCTGCCTTCAGCTCAGGTCATGATCCCAGGGTCCTGGGATCAAGCTCCACATCGGGCTCTCTGCTCAGCAGAGAGCCTGCTTCCCCTCCTCTCTCTGCCTGCCTTTCTGCCTGCTGTGATCTCTGTCTGTCAAATAAATGAATAAAAATCTTTAAAAAACAAAACAAAACAAACAAACAAACAATCAAAAAACAAAATCTACAGTATAGCCACAAAGAGGAGGGCATGGTGGCTATGGTCTTATTCACCGCATCTCAGAACATTAAAGTAAATACAGACTGTCCCTGAGCTTATGAGGTTTTTGTTTTTGGTGGGTTTTTGTTTTGTTTTGTTTCTGTTTTTGTTTCGTTGTTTTGGTCCACGGGTTGATGTAGTCTCGTTTCGGAGAGGATTGAAGGCAACTTACAAAGGCCACATAAAATACCAGAAAGCAGACATTCAAAACAGGAAGCGAAGAGACAAGGAAAACAAGGGCCAGAAGATAGAATAGGGTCGGGAAGATGCGTACCCCAAAGAGAAGCATCTTTTCAAAGGAGCCCTGGGTGCTGAGTGGCCTCTGATTCCCCTTTGCCCAGCTCCCTTATTGTAGCAACCATTCTCCTTTGTCATCCTAGGCTCTCCTTGGGTCCCCCTCTGGCTACTCAAACCCCCACCCTGTCCTCCTTTCCTGAGAACTCTGTGCCACCCAATCACCTCTGCCTTATTCTCTATGTAGATGGCCACTTTGATCTCAGAGGTCAGCGTGTGAAACCGATAGTGCTCAGGTGTGGTTCCCTGGATGTTCAGCCTCAGGAGTGTTAAAGCAAGAAGAAAGTAGATTCATAGGCCCTTGTGCGAGAGCTCGGATGTTGTCCCTTTGGGGTGAGGCCCTGAAATACCTTATTTTTTGAGACCATCCCTGGAGATGCTGGTGCCCAGCCAGGTGCGGGGAGCTCTGCTGACTTCACCATTGGAGTGGGCTTCTTGATGAAGCTGAAGGCTTCCTGTCGCTGGAATGTTCCAGGGAAGTCTTGTTGATTCCTCAAGAGCAGCTCTGCACATGCAGTGGTGGTCCTGGGGGGAGAGGTGGCCGGGTGCTTTCTGAGGTCCTTTTCTCAACTCCCAGATTCCAGGCTTGTAGCGTAATTCATGTGAAGATATAAATGAGTCTGAGATACTTTTAATCCTGCTCCTTTTAATGGAGGACTCTCCTTCACCAAAAATGTATGTGCTGCAGTGGATGCTAATTTCAGGCCCTGTGACTAAGTGAAATGACGGATTTCAAACAATGTGGGTGTGGAGATCTTCCAGTTGTTCCTTAAATCAGTGGCTCCCAAACTTGGCCGATCTTCAGAGTCGTCTGGGAAGCATTTTAAAAATACAGATTTGGGGGCTCCACTCCAGAACTCCTGAAACTGACTCTCAGGGTGGGCGTGGTATCCAGAAATGGGTAGTTTAAAAAAACATAAAACAAACAAAAAAAAAGCACCAACCCAAACTCCCCAGGTGATGTTGATGACTAGCTAAGTTTGGGGATCTCAGTGTTAAACCGCATAATGAACCCTGGCTCAGGGCTCTGCTTAGGTCTCTAGGGACTTTCCGAAGTAGTCGGAGGACAAATGACAGGAAACAGTTTTACAAAATGGGCGTGCAATATGTGAAATTTGCTTGCCCTCGAGGAAATACAAATGAAAAAATACAAACGTAGTTAAAGAAGGGGTAGACATTTTGCAGGGATGGGATGGTGAGGGGAGGTTAGGGAGGCCTTATACAGAGGTAACTCTCTGAGCTCCTGCCACAGTGAGTCATTGGCCGGGTATCCCCTAGCAGAGTTGACCAGTAGAGGTCAACTACAGAAGATCCCTGTTCTTTGAGATTCCATGGTTGCACCTAAGCAGGTAACAAGCCTAATGTTCTCTCGTCCCCTTAGCACATTGTTTTGTTCGTGGTTAATTTATTCGAGAAATGTTTGCCAACTGTTGGATGCTACGCTTCATGCCTTGTAGCTGTGCTCCTTTGGTAGGAGTGGTTGTCCCTCCCTCAGGTAGTGAGGGGTTCACTCTTTGGGGAGATGGCCAGAATATATTTTCAGGAATGAGAAGGGCTTCTGATGGACCTTAAGACTGAAAATAAAGTGGCAGTTTTGACATTCTGATGATAGGCACTCCTCCTACAGAGAGTTGTGGGTATTGTGGCCATGGCAGTGGGACACGGGCAAGGACGGGGGCACAAGAAAGTTCTGGTATCAGGCTGGAGCTAAACTTGAGTGTTGGCTTTGCTGTGGGATTAAATTGCTGAATATTTTACTAACCCTTTTCCTTGGGGTTCAGGGACACGGTGCCCCATGAGCTCCAAAGCACATCTCTAGGAGAATGTTGACGTTAGACCCCAATCCCAATGTCGTCTTTGATCCCGACTCTCATCTGAGGCCCTTCCTTTAGATTCTCACCATCTCCCCACGTCTCTCTCTCTGTGGGCCCCAGAAACGACCCCATAGAAGACTGGAGTTCCACATTCCAACAAATAGCAGAGCACATGCAGAAGCTGCAAGAGAAACAGGAAGCTTTTGTGCTCAATCCTGCTGTTGGGGTAGGATCCTCCCCACCCTCACCTAGGGAATGCTTGCCGCCTCCTGGATGCCTCCGATCTTGTTACATCTTGTCTGAATTCCTGGCATAGTGTGTCAACTAAAATGTCGTAAAGCAAATCCTATTTTCCCAGTCCCTTCCTGACCCTGTCTGCTAAATCCATAATTATTAAACAGCTAACCCACCTAGGGCAGGTTTCCCATTTGAAGAACCTCTTTTGCATCTGTGAGTGGAGAGGATTGAATGGAAAGGTGAATTGCTTTCTGTTTCTCCTACATTTTCTTTTCAAAGGCGGGCTTTAAAACAATGGCATGCAGTTTCATTCTTCTGCCTTTCTAATCCTCTCCAAAACTGGGTGGATCTTCCAAGCCTCTGTGCTCCTCTTTCTTTCAAGTGTGGTCTACCCTCACTTTGACTTGACAAGGCCCTGAGCCGATCCCTGCCCCTGGACCTCTCCGCCAGGGATGGACCCATGTGTGACATTTTCCTTGCTCTTCCTTCTGTGAGATGGGAAGGCAGCCGCCCCGTGTGAGGTCCGTATCTTTCAGCTCTCAGGCGCTCGTCTCTCCTCCCATCTGCAGATGTTTACTTTTAATCTCCTTTCTCAGACACCAATTTGATCATTCTCTTTGCAATAATCTCTTTATGCTTGGTGTGTCATGTCACATCCCTGTCCATTACAGTGGCTGCTTCACTGGTCTGCCCAAAGAACCTGAAATGAGACGTTTGCATTGACGAACTGCTATTAAAAAAGTGGAGGGTTGGGTTGGAAGAAACTACTTGAAAAAACAAATCAAAACAAAACCCTCTCCAAAAAACACTTACTTCCTGCTAACGGGATACTTAGTCACTGTGGCCTCCTCCTTAGAGTCCTAAATGTGCCACGGAAATGACCAGAGGTGGCTCTTACCCTCTTTCTGCTTGTCTCAGTGGAGCTCACAACCCAACCCTCCTCATAGCGCACTCGGCACCCCCAGTCCTGCTGAATGCAGGCCCAGTGGCCTCGAACCAGCGCACATGCCCAGGAATCACTAACCAGACTCTGTGCCAGGGGCCTCTAGCCAGAGCACATGCCCAGCAGCCCCACTAATTCCAGAACAACAGGATCCTCCTTCCTCTCCCAACCTCTCCCGGGTGTCATCACCTCCTTAGCCTGAGGGCCTCAGTGGCTCCTCCCAGATGAAAGGTGGAAGCTTGACCAAGATCCTGCAGGAAACCTTGCTACTGGCCGCCCATAAGACTGTGGACTGAGGCATCGCAGCCTCTTAGAGGTAGGAGAGCGAAATCAGAGTCAGGCAGGGAGGGGGTCGGTACGGGCTGGGGGATGGCAAGTGCAGATGCAGAGACAGACGGGTTAATGGCAGCAAGACGGAGGCCCAGTACCACCACCCCCACCGCACCCTGGGCCATGGGAAAAGAGCTGGCCTGGGTTTCTTAGTACACAAAGTCTCACTTGTTCCCAGTGGACCCTGGGCTCCTCAGGTCCCACTGATCTCTGTGCCCACCTGGGACACCGAAAGTTCACCTAGTTTCAGCAAGTCTTTGGCTTGGGGATGGTCCAGGTCATGCAGGAAGAACTCGTTCTGCTGGGGGCCTGTGTCTCTGGCCTGGCTCCCAGAATCCCCACT